CCCCAAAACCCCAAAACCCCAAAACCCCAAAACCCCTCAATTAAATATTTAACTGAAATTATCTTAAATTAATTGTTAGCACAGGTTATGAATACTACAAGGGAAGTAGCCAAGCTTAAAAGGAGAGAAAATAGCCTTAAAAGTAACGAAAACACCAACTTCCTTGTCTAAACTCCCTCTAGAAATTAAGCAAAGTAAAAAATCCAAGAATAGCATTCAAAATTCATTAGATTCCAATGCAATTCTTGAGAAAATAAGAAAAAGGAAGCAGGAATTACGAACAAGGCAGTTAAATACCTCTGTTAGGAAGTCTTCCCAGCCTCGTACAAACTCCTCTGGAAGGGTTAGGAGCTCTGTAAGTGCCTAATTCAAGTCTGACCTAGTGTCTAATCCCGTTCGTTTTAGGACCATGAGAACAAGCTCAGCTATGTCTATCAACACAAATTGAAGAAACACAAATAATATAAAGCATTCGAAATCCCGTTCCAAGAAGAGACCACTGAGGAGGAAGAAACGGAGGTCTAAGAAGAAGTCAAAGAGCAGGAGGAATGTCCAAAAGCAGGAAGTTCCTCCCTTCTCAGACAACTTCACTGATCTCAGGATCAACCCGAAAGGAAAAGCCAAGAAATAAAGATGGGAGTTTAGAGCTCTTTGATCAGTCCTTCGGAAATCCTTCCAGCAAGGATGATCCGTTGAACAGATCTAAAGACCTGCAATTCGATCTGAGTCCTGGAAAATCTTCCCAGATGACCAAGAACGAGGAGCTGTATTGTGACCATGCTGAGCATCAGCAGAAAGTTGAGAGGATAAAGCAGAAGGAGGAAGCTAATCTGCACAAAATGCAGAATGAAAAACATACGAATAAATAAGTCTCAATTCATGTGCAAGTATTATGTCCCCATCCACAAGAGGGTCCACTCAGAGATCAAGCATCGGCAAGCCAAGCTTGATAAGCTCCAGCAGTCTGTGTGGCAGGAGAGGAAAAATAAGGAGAAAATGGAGAGCGATGAGCTCTTCTTCCCTCGGACAAAACTGTCCTATGAACTTCAGAGAAAGAGGAGGAGTATTAACATCATTCATGAGAAGAACCAGGATCTCTACCACAATTATAGTCTTCAGACCAGTCATCAATCCTTCATGAATTTCTTGAAGGATCATGAGGCTTGGGATTACCGAAGACAGAAAAAGATAGAAGAGGAGAAAACCAAGAAGGAACAAAAGGTAACCTATCAGATTTAGAACTATAGATTCTTGAAGAACTTACCTTTACTCCAAGTATAAACCAGAATAGTTATAAATTATTGCCTAAAAGAAACGAGAGCGTGGAAGAGCGCCTAATGATGAGGGCGGCTAAGTCTCAAGCCAAGCTTGAGAGCATGAGGCTAGCACAAGAGTTCTCCTTTCAGCCTAATATCTATAAGGGTTCAAAGGAAGGAAAATGAATATTATCCTTAAAGAAATCCGATCATAATTGATCAAGGACAGGGAATTCAGAGATTCCTCCCCTCCCACCACGTGATCCTGTCGGAGTGACCAAAGTAAAACTGCAGTATAAGGAGAACGAGAAGGTGATAAAGCACAACACTGAGACTGAAAAGAGCAAGATTCGGGAGTTTTCTCCTGTTCTTGAGACCTCTCAGAGAGACTATGCTACCTTAGATGAGCATTCGGCCTAAAATCATTCAATTAAAAATTTGTAAGGAGGGGTTTTGGGGTTTTGGGGTTTTGGGGTTTTGGGG